TTATTATTTTTTATTAGTTTATTTATATTTTATTATTATTTATTTATTATATAATACATTATTAACATATTAAATATTGGTATTTAATATGTTACTATATTATTATATAAGATATTTTATTTATTATCTTTTTATATTATTTAATAAATATTACTAATATATTAAATTAACTATAATATAGTATAGTATAATATAATAAGCATGTTGATAATAACTCTATATTAATTAAATTTAATATATTATGTTAGATATTATATTAACACATTCTCAAACTCAAAATCAAAACACCAAACTTTAAAACATCTAAAAGGTGTTTTGAAATAAGTGTTGTGTTTTTTATTTGAGGATATTTAGATATTAAATTAACTATAATATAGTATAGTATAATATAATAAGCATGTTGATAATAACTCTATATTAATTAAATTTAATATATTATGTTAGATATTATATTAACACATTCTCAAACTCAAAATCAAAACACCAAACTTTAAAACATCTAAAAGGTGTTTTGAAATAAGTGTTGTGTTTTTTATTTGAGGATATTTAGCTCAAAAACACCATGGTTTTCAAACACAAAATGTTTTGTTTTTGATAAAAACATCATGAAAACAAGTAAAACACCATGGTATCCAAACTGAGCCTAAGTAATTATGTTTAGGATCACTAACCAATGGTAAAAACAAGGGTCGGATCGGGTTTAAAGTGCATTAACTAGGTGCCTGTTGCCCGAAATCAGAACTCAAACCATAGGCAAATAATTTCGATTTTTTGGCTGACAATATCAGCTAACAACTCACTTTATCGCCGCATTATCGGTGATAAACATCCAAAAACGATAAGCGATTTAGAATCGAACTTATCATAGCGGAAGGCCCCCAAAACCAATAAATCGCCGATGATATCGGTTTATCGGCCTATATTTAAAATATTGAGTAAAACCCATTTATGTTTCCACCAATCAACAAATAGACCCAAATGCTAAAAGCCCAAAACTAGTAGACTAGAGACATAAAAAGTTCAAAACCCAAAAAACATAATGCAAAAGCCAAAAGTAATTATTAAAACCAAAACCCATTAACTCACCCGTTTACGCCCGGGCCTCCGGCCAAACCCCTCCTAATCCTCCTCTAAACTTCTAACAAATTATCAAGAGACTTCTTTTTTGAATTGTGTTTTTAAAGGGCTGATATTGTCTTTTTAATTAATAATTCAGTGATTCACATATTCACATTCTTTCATCTATAATATAGGATACAATCCAATAATTTTAATAAGTCAAGAATGCAATGCAATAGATTAGTTGTAAAATTGATTGTCCTTCGTAATATCATGCATCGACATCACCATAAAATATCAAAAACCATCGAGCAATTGCAAAAGTACACACTAAAACACTAAAATGTCTTTTTTTATTTATATATATATATATGATACAATTATCATATATAATTGACAATCTTCTATTAATTACTTAGCACATACCAAGTGTTTGTTTTATGAATTTGATTTTGATATGTACTTGTTTATGTTTCATACTAAAATATTTTTAGAATCTAATCGTAATGTTGGATTTTGATGCATGATGGAGGAGAAGAACGGTCTTGCTTTGACTTCTCCTTGTCTATGAGAGGGTGTGGTATTATGACAGTGCCAGACAAGTTATCCATTGGTCACATTGTTTGACTTATCCAACCATGCTGAATTTGCTTAGCAAGGCATTCTTTTTAATGGTGGCAGAGAACATCCAGTCACACAGCATCATGACATTCTCTGATTTTTTATCAGGCAACCGACATAACTGATCAGATCTAAAGTCTTGAGGGGTGTTTATATATCTTGTGATAGTGGCTGCTGGTTCTGAGGACACTCCGTTGATAAGGGCAGTGTCTCCTAGAACTATAATGATGTATTCCTGTGGGTTTAGGCCTCACCCATCCTTGCGTCGTACATGCGTACACGTGCAACCATATGTTTACTCATTACGCTTGTCATGGTTATCTGGTTGCAATGTCTTCTATTTATACTCCATTCTGGCTTGTGTTGGTTTGTTTTTTAGAGTTCTCACGTGCTTGTAATATTTTAAGGGCTTATGCCATCTCTAGAAAGAAATAACAAAGGTTCTGCCATACTAAGAATTATCTGTTTTCCAATAACTTGGATGCATAACAAACATAAAGACATATAATGTATCCCACCAAATACATGTACTATATGGTGCAGTACAGTCATATAGATACCTTTGCAATTCAGAAGAGCAGTGATGAGCAACTTCCCTGAGGGGTCCACTTAAAACTAAATGTGGATTAGAATGCTAGCTTGCACTAAATCTAAAAACCCAACTTATCTGATTCGCTCAAATTTATATGTGTCAGGCCATGTAGCATGGGTATTGGTGCGGGCATGGACACAAGTGCAGATAGGGGACATGGTAAATGCGTAAATGGTAGGATACAAGGACACGGCTATATGTACACATTGAATTTAATAATTTATATAAGATCAGTTTTGTTTTTTCATTTATATGTTATTTAGAACTAAAATCCCTATAGCATTTTCATGTTTCCTTTATTACATAGATTTATAAATATAAATTGAAAAACTAGTCAATTTTGAAGTAGATATCCAAATGATCTTTTAAAATCATACTTAGTGAACTATGTATGGGCAACAACGAACCTGACTCAAGTCTAATGAGTTGCACAATTTGAGGTGAAGGGCAAGATATACGTCCAAGAGGTGTATCACGAGTATTTTAAACTAAAACATGTATTATGCATGCCTGAGTAAATTTATGTATAAATTCAAGAAGTGTCCAAGGAGTGCTGGGCACAAACATGGACACGGACATGAGTAAGTGTTGGACATGAATACAGGAGTCTCAATGAAGCGTTCGGGTAACTTAGGTCTCGGGTAAAGGGTCTGGATTCAATTACAAGGTTGGGGTTAAGATATACTTGTTGGGCTGCATTTACAACATTAGATATGAAAAAACAAGGAATCCCTAGCAAACCTGCTGATCAACTAACTATAAGCACATAAATTCAACAAAAAAAGGAATCCCTAGCAAACCTACTGATCAACTAACTATAAGCACATAATAGTCGGACTATTCAACTCTGTATCAAGATGCTCAACAGAGACATTATTTCCAAGAGCATTTGATACAAACAAAAATGTTTGGAATTGTAACTATCAAAAAGGATGAGATGATACAAAAAAATGCAATAGATAAATTTTTCTGTCATAAATGCATCTCTTAGGAATAAATGTGGTGGCCAGATTCAAGCAGACACCAAATGTCCCACAGGTGTGCCGTTGTGTGAACAGGTCAAGTAACTCTACTAGAGATCAAAGTATGCTTAGCATATTAACTAAGTATAACAGACAGTGTTTTCAAAGGCGTGTGCCTCACTACGCCTCATGCACCCTGTGATGCGGGGCAGTGGCAAAGCGCCCCGCATCTGATGCATCTTGACTTCTTTGTGCACCTAACAAGCATCTTGACTTTGTGCAGGGTGCATGAAGTACATAGACTTGTATATTTTTGTTTGTTTAACATTTCCATCAAGTCTTTATACTTGATAACCCATATCCCAAAAAGCAAAATAAATTTATTAGGCCTTTTTGGTAGCCTTCAATTGATGACCCTAACTAATCCTCGTTTGCTATATGATTTTGCTTGGATATCAATCTTGATTTGACATTTGATTTGAAAAATTATGAACTGTGTATGTGTTAACATTAAAAATTAAGATATTATTTTGTGATTTGGTAATAAGATATTATATATCCTGCCATTTTTTATGTGAATTCCTAAACATGTTCTTTCGTGCTAAAAAATTATGTGTGCGGTGTGCGCCTTGCATCACTTGGGCGCGCACATAGCGTTGCGCTTTGCGCATGTGCGCCTAAAGATACTTCCCCCCCCTCCCGGTATTGCGCCTCACGCATTAACACTGATTACAGATTAATTTACCTCTTACAGACTATAATGGGAACTACAAATGCACAAACTTACCGTATCACGTAAATCAACTTCCCTCAGGTAAGCTCGCTGAAGATTTGCAAACTCCAAATTTGCACCACTCAGCTTCGCACCCTGCAAACCATGTAAATTGATGAAATGAATATCAACGTTTTCTCCTTTTTCATTCTTCAAAGCATCGCACTATTTTTCACTTTTCACCATTACAAGCAGTTCAAGTGCATTAGTAACAGAATGCACGTACATTAGTATAAACAAAACAAAAAATGCAATTTGATTGCAAATTACTTGACCCTCGATATAAATTGACTACAATCAAAACCCAGTTAAAAAGAATAAGCGACTGCCCAAAATGTGTGATCATATGGAGATGAGAATGCTGACAGGATTATTTAATCTTCTATGAAGAAAAATGTAGAATTTGACCAGTTAGCTTCAAATCATTAACTGTTGTATGAATTGATGTTCATGTCATCATTTAGGATGATTGAAAAATATCTTTAAGAATTCTTACTGGGCATGATAGTTTAGGTACAATTCTCAAGTCAAAGAACAATGCATGAACTGTATATAAACAGGATAATAAAAACTAAAAAGATGGAGAAAGTATCTGACCCAAGAAGCAATATAACGACGGAGCATCATTAGTGAATGTGCTATCATGCAAAAACACTTTAGAATACATACCCTTAAGGACAACCAAGTTATTTTGCATGCCATATTTTACCCATATAGAAGAATTAATGACTAACAACAATAGCAACAAAACGAAGTTGTCTACCTTCAAATTAGCTCCTTCCAGATTAGCTCCGCTGAGGTTGGCACCTGTAAGCTTAGCATTCTGACATATTGCAAAATTGGTTAACAGTTACTAATCAATTGAAGTGGAGTTGCAAAAGAAGTAACAAGTTAAAGTCAATGTACATCAACATGAGTTATTAATTGGGAACACCTGTTGTTGTTGTTGCCGCCACTATAATTGATGTTACATACTATTTTTTTAGAGTTTTGCTTATATTGGTCCCCCAAGTCTCAATTATTTTCAAATAATTCCCCCAAATCTCAAATATTTTAAATAAGAACCCCACATTTCAAGTATTTTAAATAAGTCCCCCAAATCTTTAAGTATTGATAAATAAGTCCTCCAAATCTCATATATTTTAAATAAGTCCCCCAAATCTGTAAGTTCTCTTAAATTAGTCCCCCTATGTTAAAACCTATCAATTTAACTCCAAGTTAACTAAATTCCATAAATCTTTCATGTTTCGCCCTACTCTTTCCTAGATATTTCCCCTGAAACTCTTTGTCTCTTCTCATTTTTCTATTTGTTGAGATGTCTCTACTGAACTACATTGCAAGTATATATTAGGCGTAACCATCTAGGGAATATGAGGGGGAAACTAGCAAGATTAGGGTAGTTTAGGTAATTTAGAGTTAAGTTGGCAATTTTTAAACTGGAGAGAGTTACTTAAGAGAACTTATAGATCTGAGTAACTTATTTAAAATAGATGAGATTTCATGGACTTATTTAAGAATACAAATAGATTTGGGGGACTTATTTAAAATATTTGAGATTTGGGGGACTTGTTTAAATATAAGTCAGATTTGGGGGAACCAATATAAGAAAAACCCATCTTTTTATTAAGAGTATTCATACATATAACAAAGATCACCGCTTGCACAAGAATAAGATTCTGGTGTAGCAAGAATAATGAATCTTGCAATTACATGACTTAGACTTTATCAATTAATTGCTGCTATCTTTGTTTTCTGGGTGGCCTGGAGATAGAATATAACTTTTTTTTCGATCTGGAAGGAATTTGACCTGGTATGACCTCTTGGGTTATTCATACATGGGCTTCAGATTACATGAGAACGTTCAGCTTAAGTAGATGCAGTGTAGTATAAAATTTTCAACATTTCATAGTTTATTAATAAAGGTTATGAACGGAACTACTCATGGTTCCCCTTATGTTCGTGGCAGTGTGTGTAGGTGAACATCAGACCTGTTGGTGCCACTATTTTGTATATCCTACTTTTGTATGTAGTGGGTCCTGTTCTACTGCATGTGTTGCTACCTGGTCTGATTTTTTCAGATTAAGGAAGGCCTTTTGTGTATTTTACCCCACACACACGCGCGCGCGCACACACATACACACACACACAGAGAGAGAGAGAGAGAGAGAGAGAGAGAGAGAGATACATACATACATACATACATACGCATGACGCTTTTGGTTTTAAAAAAAAATGAATGGAACTAGTTATAAAAGCACTGTCTTGGTCAAAAGAAAATAACGCTTTGCCACAGAGCCAAAAACTCATAAGAAAAAAGCATTTCCTTTAGTCAGTAAAATGGATTAAGGGAAAAGAAGAATCAACCTGCAAATGCGCAGAACGAAGATCTGCTTCACATAAACTGCAGTCTATCAAGCATGCATCTGCAGAAGCAACAGAATGATGAGATTTTAGCATTTGTAGACAATTATACCTCCGGAGGTTCATCCAATTCTCTATGCAACATTTTGTACCTCAGATTCTCAGACCTCCACAAATAGCTGGCAAAAGAACATGTTGAATTTTGTAGTATGATGGCCCAAACAGATAGTGGTCCAACATTAACTCAAAATGGAGTAAAGTCAAAACTCCTTCACTAAGATTTGGAAAGATAAAAAAATCCTCTTGAATGGTGTAGCTAGCTTACTCAACTTATTTAAAGATATTCTTCAGTCAATATATTGACGTTATATAAAAAGCATTATGATAAACCCAACTAGAAAGGTTTGGGGTGAATAGGAAGTCAGGAAGGTTTTACTAAATAGACGTCTACTAGGTAAACCTTAACATGAAATAAGTCCTGAATGGAAAAGTGACATCACCTTTCTACTGATCATTACAATGTTACTGAAATATTGACCACAAGTGTTACAGTAATAAAAAGTAACCAACAATTTTGAAAGAGATCCGCAAGTAGACTACCTTGTAGATTTGCACTCTGAAGATTTGCCCTGTCTAATATAGCTCCATGAAGATTTGCCCCAGTGAACTCGCACCTTTTGTAAAGAAAAGGTAAAATACCATAAGAAAATGGTCCATAGAGAAAATTTAGAGGGTTGAATGGTACTAAAAAATGATTATTACAGATCATATAGAATGATCTGAATGACTTTCCCCAGGAGAGAACTCACAAATAGCACTCAAAATGATGTTGATTGAATTTCTAATTAAATGTTTATACAAGCATCAGAGGCAGAACATGATCTACATTGGTATTCAAACTTAGTTATGTTAATATTACTAAATTACACCTCATTCACATTGGAATTTCAAAACTTTTTCCCCAAATATAGGATCAGATACATAAATTCTTCGTTTCTATGCGGATATATTTTCCTGTTAAATTAGCTACCGACAGATAATTCTTTTACTGCCTTAGTACCTGTTCCTTTTGGGCCTACAACTAGTTTAACCAGTCTTTGAGAACTCTATTGCTCTTCCTAGATACTACATGATAGACACGTGTTGGAACCATCTCAAAGGAATTCTCCTTTCGCTTATCCTCAATTGAAGATATCTTTTTAGAGTATGTAAATCCGTTATCTTTTTCTTTTACTAACAGGTAGGCCAGGCACTCAATAGACTATGTTTAGGCTAAATTTAATTAAAATACTGCTCAAGTATGAACAACATAAACTATGGAAAAATTGATGAAGTATCTTACTCACGCAAGATTGCATCCTGAAAAATAGATGAATCTGCTTCCACATCCTGTTAAGGAATATTCAACATGTTATGATATAATACCCACTACACAAGAACTAATTCACTAAAAATTTAATGAAAAAGAAAAGAAAACTTGATTTGGTATGGAGAAAAGAACCATGTTTCAAATATATACATCAATATAGCATGGCCAGTCATCAACACCTGGTTTCAGGTCTTTACATAAATCATAAGGCTAGAATAATAGATAAGCAGCAGAATTAACTTCCGAAGTTAAAAACAAAAGGCAATTGGACCACACATTAGCGTGTAAAATCTAAGGATAAATGCATAGCAGAGACTTTCTCAAAAACAATATCTAGCAAGACAATCAGATTGAATACCTACCCCAAATTTTGCTTTCTGGAGATTTGCGCTTAAAAATGAGGTTTTCTGAAGATATGCATATGTGAAGTCAACAAAGGAAAGATCCTGTGGGATACAAAGATAAAAAGTCAATATCGGCAACATGCATACTTCAAAGAAAATTGATTTATACATCAGTCTACTAAGTGTACTCAATACTTGAAAATAAATACAGACAAAGAAACAAAGATATGTCTGAACAAAGTTTTCTTTTATCTTCACCAGATAATAGAACATGTAAGAGAAAATAGCCGGTACAAGACAATATATTAGAATGATACTAAAATGACAAAATTGATGGTGTTCCCTTGTAACTTCCAGAACAGCAACCTTAAAAACTACAAACAACCTATTTTACCTGCAAACAACCTATTTTACCTGGGTACTTCTAATCTGAAGCTATACCCATAGCCGACCCGTACCCATACTTGTACCCAAACTCCCTGAACACTCCTTGCATATAACCGAGTCTTCTGGCATGTTTAGATTCAAGTCGGCCAGGAATGTGGCCCGTGAGCACCACCCTCTGTTTCAGCATGTTGGGCTGTGCATACATTTATTCAGGCATGGACTCAATTATACAACATATGTTTTAATTTAAAAGCCCTTGTCATACGTTTTTGGAACATATATCCTACACTTCACATCCACTTCTTGAAACTCGTTGGACATAGGTCAGATTTTAAATTATGATTTTGAATGGTTGCTCGGATGTCTAGTTCAAAAACTAGTAATTTTCCAATTTATAATCCACATAATAAAATAAACATAAAACCATTATAGGAATTTTAATTCTCATCATTGCTCTCATATATATTATTAGTTCCAATATATAATGTGTGTGTGTGTATAGCCGTGTCCCCGTACTCTATCTTTTGCAAATTTTTTGTGTCCCGTACCCTGTACGCGTACCTGTACAGGTATCCGAACCCGTACCCATGCAACATAGCAAACAACAGAAACCTCTGCAAGAACTTTGGTCTTTACCAGCAAACAAAAGGTCCTAAGAGATCATCAACTAACTTTCAATATATTCAATCAACACAAACTAAGCAAGTATAGAACTCCAAAATTTTCTGTATTCAATTATAAATTTTCGTACTAGACATGGAAAGGTTTATAACAGAAACTTCACCAAGAGGTTCAGCAAAAACAATGATTCAACCCACTTTTCCCATTACGCAAGAGGAGGTTTAACAATCATATTTTATTACTGCAAATGCAACAGCATTCTGTTGAAGTGTTTCTATTTGGCTCTTGCACTTTGTGTGTCTCCGAGGTTAATATGACTCCATCATAGGACATCCCTACCTCTACTTTTCTGGGTTATAGGAAGTTGGAGGTTTGGACCTTGATTGTGTGAGCTTGAGTTGAATAACAATCAAATGTCTCCATAGTGCATACTATCAACCAATTGGCTGTCAAGATTCAAAGATAGTCCTTTTTATGCTTCCATTTCGCATGATTGTTGCACAGCCTTGTACAGGTTTTATAAGCTTGGCAGTCATTAAATTTTTGGTAAATTATTTTCTTTAGGCTTCTCCAGTTTGAGCACGCTCCATGTCCAACCCCGTTAGAAGCTTGAATGACGCCGAGAAAGAGAAATGGCTCATTTACGAGTGAAGGCAAAGACTGTGGCAGCATGTACAAGCTAAATCATGATCAGTATAGTGCAACATTTACAATCATAACAGATTATCAAAGGTTAGCAAAAAAGAAACCTTCTAAATTTCTCATCTCTGTCAATGCTTCGAAACCCCAACATAACATAAACAATGGCAACCATAATGAGTAACTTCAATGAAAATGCCTGGTTAACTCACACCAATACTAGTCCCTCCACAGTGGCGTTGATGAACAGAGAAAATATAAGTTAACATTCTTGTATTACTGAGGGAAAGACATAGTATAAACAAAAATTCTGTGGGAGCATTAAAAACAGCAAGTATAACTATAACCATTTCATAATGATCAAATTAATTTAGAAGAGCAGTCTCTCTTACAAGTTTAGAAAGATTGAGGCCAGACAGATTCACCCCTCGGAATCTGATTTTATCGGATTGAACGCATTTGATGATATCTTTACGTGTTAATTCGGCTAACGAGCTGTCCTCATCCTTTTTCTTGCTCATGCATATGTTTATATGCTCAACTAGTCCCTGTAAAAGAAAGTGAGAATAACTTTGAACCAGAAGGCAACAATATGTATAAGGAACCTCCTTACGAAGCAACAAATCCATATCAGAATTGCTCAGTGAAGAAAACAATTACAACATCTGGAAATCTTGAAGGACATCAAATGATAAAGATCAGGCTAAATACACGTGCACACGCACACGTTCACGCATGCCACACACACACAAATGCACACTTTTTTCTTGTTTGATATGGAGGAGAAGGCAGCAATCTAATCACTGCGAAGAGAAATCTATAATGAATTTAAGTAATATATATAGATATATTGGAAATATATCTCTCTCTGGAGCATGGTTGTACTTCTGTAGAAGCTTTAGTCCTTAACATGATTTTTCGCTATTGATCCTGGAGAAAACAGTTATAACTAGAATCTTGCCAGCCACCAGATTAGAGGCTATAATGTAATAAAAAAAATGTTAGTAAAATGACATCAAGACACAGGATGCAATATGCATCTCACCAGTTAGTTAAGTGTCAACAAACTCTAAAAAAAATTAAATTTGAAAAAATAGCATACGGACTGCATGCAGTTTAGTTCCCTAGAGCTTGCAGAAAACCTTACTCATCCTCAATGAATCACACCCTGTACTACATCCTTGTCCATCAGAACAAATTTATATATTTCCTGGGACAGACCTATCACATAAGCTAAGCCATGACCCCGTAAGGAATCTGAAAATTCCAAAAGTTAATAGGTTCAACCTATCATCTCGGTCTTACATGAAATGTGGCCACCTCAAAAAAAAAGTACTTCTGAGGAGTTTTAAAAAATGATCTTTTCTCTTTGTCTTTTAAAATGTGTCCCCCACCAAATTCCAAATATGCTAGATCGCCAGTGTTCAAAAACACTCTCCACCCGGCCAACTACTTACCCGAGTACTCCTACATGGCACCAAAACATATTGGGTTGCTGAAACCCACTCAATTATGTGATTAAACCACAAAATTGAGCGATTAAAAGAGTATGCGCCTACAAAATAAAATTATGTGGGCGCATAATATATCGGACCTGACCTGCACTTAATTGCCCTAAGGTCTCCCAATCGTTGTCAAAAAAGATCCCAAAAAATATGTTGCTTTAAAATCCTAAACCTAGCCACTCCTACGTAGCCTCCTCTCTACCTCCTCTAGTTGTCGCCAATCACCATCTCCGACTGCCGCTGAGCGTAGACGTCAACCTCCGCCATCTTTCTTTGTCGTTTCCACCACCAATCACTACGATGATGATGAGGAAGACTAGCTGAGGTATTTTATTAGCATTTTAAAGTGTTATGACTTATGAAGAGTTTTTCGCTTGTAAACTTTTAGTAGTTCTACTTTTAAGTGTATAACGACTTTGATATGGATAGTTTAGGATATTATTATTAATCTTTTGCTTGGAAGGTTTTATAATTTTCATGAATTATTATATTGTATATATGTTAAATATTCTAAAAACGCTTGGAAGGTTAATATATATGTTAATTGTAACTTCCAATTTCTACTGTTATCTTCGAATGAGCTTTCTCAGACATGGAGATAGTCAAATACCCGCTTGATGATGTGTTTCTCCAAAGTACAGAACAATCAAATTGTTCACTTCAGAAAAGAGAACTCAAAGATTGTTGTTCTTGATAAGCATATCTACAAAATTTTCTACTAATTGTTTTTGTGTTTCGTTATGCAATACATAATTGGATTTTCACATGAACAACACCTTAACTTTTGTCCAAATCGATACTTACCACTATTTTTATCAAAACCACCTACATTTACTAATATGTTCGCAATGTCACACCTTTTCCACTATTCAACTCAAAAAATTCTGAAATACATATTATACCCTTCTCCTCTCTCCACCTCCTCCCTTACCTCTCCTCTCATCCTCCCTGTCCTCCTCCATCTCTTCCCTTGCCTCTTCTCTCCCCCTCCTCATCCTTCTCCACCGCATCCACCTCTACGTTTCTCCAAATCCTAACCCTTCCCTCCTCCCGTCCCCCTGCACCAATGGCCTCCTCCACTTCCTCCCTCCCATCTCCTCTCCTCCTCCCCGTCCTCCACCATATCCTCCACCTCTAGGGTTTCTCCAAACCATAACCCCTTCCCTCCTCTCCTCCTCCACCAATAGCCCCCTCGACCTCCCTCACCCTCTCCCCTCTTGCTCCTCCATTCTCACCCCCCTTCACCTCCTTCCTCTCCTCCCTCTCCTCCTCTCCCACCACTAACCTCCTCACCGCCCACCTCCCCTTCCTTTTTTTCTTCCTCTTAGGTTAGATTGGGGGTATAATAGAAACTTTAGATTTTTTTAACAGAAAATATCAAAAGGTATGACATCGCAAACATGTTAGCGAATGTAAATGACTTTGATAATAAAAAAAGGTTGTAAATATCCATTTGGACAAAAGTTAAGATGGTTTTCATATAAACACCCTATGTGATTATACTATTCTTACCCTTCTCCTTCCCACCATCCCTTTCAGAGTTCCAAGCTCCATCCGTTAAACAATTCCTTTCTATTAACATATATATGCAACATCAAGTGGCTTGTGTTGAATTATCTTACAAAGTGTTCATTACAGTGATCTTAGTTGGCATTTGCTATACCTTAATAATCCTCCCACATTCTTCATGCTCACCTGTAAGTATCTAACCGTCAAATGATACATAACTTTAAATATAAGTTAAATGGACAAAAAGAAATGAAAGGAAGGTATAGACATGTTGGCTTTAGAGTTGTAACTTACAATTAGCTGATAGTATTCTGCTTCTCGCAACAATTCTTGATATTCCGAATCTCCGAGAGTAGGAATCACACCATCTCTCAACCAATTCAATATATGTCGAAAATATTTTCCATCCCTATCAACAAATACCATTCCCTGCAAGAATTCAGTATGATCAAAGAACAAAAGTAGGTTCCAAGTACTTGGTAGCAAATAGCTTCCTCGTAATCCCCGTCACGAAATAAGATAATGTATCTTCAAATAAGACATAAGGAATAAATTGTACAAGACTACATTCTCAAGCTTATACAAATTTGGGCGCTCATCCAACATTGTGAAGGATGCAGGATACATCAAACAGAATACATGGACTTACTACAAGTGGGAGAAAGTTAGGTTACTCAGAGACAACATTTTGGGTGCGGTTTCCATGTCGTACACGCGTTGGACACGGATTCTCCCTGTACACGCAATGTACACGTGTGGTTCAAAGGAAAAAATGATTTCCCGAATCCTTATTACTCATACCCTAAAGTAGTTTCTTTAGTATTGGATTCAAAATCAATCGGTTTTTTAACCCTAAAAAGTCTAAAATTGAAACGCGTCACTTAAATATTTGAAAAAACTCATTGTATTATCCATTTATCCTATACAATCAAAACTGAACTTTTGTTGTTAAACCTTATTCTTAGTTAGTTTGATTTAACTTGATTCTTAATTGGTATACGTAACAGAAAGAAACATATAAATATAATAGGTATCTTAATCTAAGTTCCATAGTTATGGGTATGGATGGTGGTACGAGAGACAACAAATTTGTAAAAGGTAGCGTACTGAGACACGACTATAAATATGTATGTTAAATTAGTTATATATATTAAATTTAATAATTTACATAAGATCAACATTATTATTTTTATTTACATAAGATCGATATATTAGAAATATATGTGAAGTGGACACTATACATTTAAGAAGTGGAGTGTTTAATTAAAACATGTGGTATATTAGTATAAGCTTGAACAAACATATGCATATATTCAAGAAGTGTCTAGGAAGTTTGGGTACCGGGTTTCAGTGTTTTAAAGGCAATGCACCTTAGCGCCTCAGGCGCTCAGGCGAGGCGATCTTGTAGCTTAGTGCCTTGCATATAGTCAAGCGATGAAGGCTACTCAGGCGATCGCCTTTTGGCTCCTCAAGAGCTCTCCTTGGGGCCTCGTGACCTTGCCTTGGCGCCTAAGGCGCTCGCATAAGGCATCTAATGCAAGGCGGGAGGTGTTTGTCTCTATTTTAAAATTTTGAGGGTGCAAAAGGTGTCTGATAAAGTAAAGTTTGTTTTTCTAAATAATTTTTTTTCATTGTTGATTTCATGCTATTTTTTGTTGAAATGTACTTTATTACGTATATTATTTTGAGGACATGTCACAATTTGAACCTTAAAGTCTAAAAGTTTATTGCTTAGTTATCTATGTTAGCAGTTACTGGTTAATATTGCTATTCAAATTTTGTTACTTACTACTTCATTTTGATAATTTATGCTTTATTAGATTTGTGACTTTGAAAATTTGGCTGTAATTAATTTGTCTTGTAGTTATTTACTGATATTTGCATACTATTTGTAATGTTTATAAATTTTTTGAATATTTATCGCCGTGATTGACTCAGGCGATTGCTTTTTTTGGCGCCTCTCACCTCAGACAACATTAGATCTCATCGCCTTGACTTCACCTTTTGCGTTTAAAACATTGATGAGTACATGTTTGATACGAGTACAACTTCTAAGTAGAAGTACCTAGGTAACATAGATTTTAATTCAATATTAACTCTAATGTAAATTATAATTATATACATATATACATACATACATATAGCCGTGACCCTATATCCTACATGTTAGAGATTTGTCGTGTCCCATATCCATATCCGTGTCAATGCAACTTAGGGGGAAAGTTAAAAATATATGAACCAAAACCAAAAAACTAAATTAGGCAATTATAAAATTCAAACAAGATCAAAGAAACTTCAGCATGAAACCAAATAAAAAGAAAAGTGTCGTTTCTTATGATCTAAGTTACATGGACACTTATACAAGTACATGTATAGATGTAGTATACAACAAATTTGTAAAAGGTAGGGTATAGGGGCATGGTAACCCACATATGTATATAATAATAATTTACATGAGATCAACATTGTTTTTTCATTTCACGTGCTATGAATAAAATTCATTTAACATTTATATAATTCTTTTATAATATGGATCTATAAAATTACAAAGCTCATTTTTAACATGATATCTAAAATACCATTCCTAATCATATTTTTAAATTGGGTAGTGGTAGAAACAAACCCAACATATGTCCCATGAGTTTCAAGAATTGCATGTGAAGTGTAGGATACTGGATACATGACCAAGAAGTATATGACGAGCGTTTTAAATTAAACCATGCATTATATAATTGAGTACACATTTGAATAAGTGTATGCAAATATCCAAGGAGTGTCCGCTAAAGTTTTGATGTTGGGTATGGGTATGACACGAGTAAGGCTCCAAATAGAAATATCCATGCAACATAGCCATTCATACAGTTCTTTCAAGACGAGGATATTCAAAGTTGCATTGTTTCATTCACTTCAAATGTAATAATATATCAAAAGAAATAAAATGAGCTCTAGAGTTTGTGCTACAAGTTTTGTTGTTGTCGAGGAAACCAAAAGTAGTCATAATCAGAAGCCTCCAAACAACATTTGGAAGACATAAGCTCTTTGGTCTCGAGTTATAAACCCAGGGACACAAAAAATCGAAACTTATACAGTGATACATAATTATTATTTATCACTAGGTTCTAGAGATCAGTAAAATATCCCATGCCACAAATCGGATATATAATGTCATAAAGTATAAGCTAAAGAGATAAGAGTACTAGAGTAGGACAACATAGACGAAAGTTTTAGTTAATGTTTAACGAATGAATCATAATAGCATATTCTATCTAAACTTTGGACATTCTTCTCTCCTTCCTCAAACAACATGTCTCTCCTTTCTCTAGAGTTAACTGACATCCTTGTTAGATCCTTAACCCAACATCCTTGACATGGGTGTATCACTACCTGGTGGTTTAGAGTGCTTGAACTCCCCTTATGCCTCATTAAGTTGTTTATAGGCTTCTTTTATGCAATCATTGTTGGCTTTTTTTGACTCATGTGCCTTCCCAACCTTATTCCTTAGTCAGGAGGGAGGGCCTTGTGTGGGCTCTTTTGCTCTCGTGCTACTTAGAGGTCATCAAAAAACCAGTTACAGAGGAAACTAAACTCCATTAAACTTCCTTACAGCTATTTGTTTATCTTCAAGCTTGTTATGGTTTAGCTTGATCTCCTCCCAAAACCCTTGGACATTACTGTTATTCCTCTAAAAGTACCCTGACCTTATCTCTAACAAGCTACAATTTGTTGATGTGAACAGGTTAGCTTAAGAGTACATGCATGCTTGTAGTTTTATGATCGAATTCAGATAGACCCTTCCTCCATTATCTTTTTTGTTTCTTTTTTCATCTCAATATTATGCCCTCTTAATACAATCAATGACTTCACTAACTGACTCTTTATTTCATCTTCGAAGCTATTTGACCTTATATAAGTGTGAATTGAACAATTAGTTTGTGTTACAAAATTATTGACCTTAAGAAGCAGTGTTATCACAAAATAGTCTCTGTGATTGGTGTGGGTGCTTACCGAGTAACATAGCTTGAGAGAAAATCATGGCACACATCTCTTTTCTTAACATGACCATTTTATTCAATCATGGACCATTCACTGTGTAAAGATATATTACACATTGTGATGCAGATGAACAAAATACAGGCAAGTCTTTGTGTCACATTTTTGGGAAGATTTCATGTTTCAAGCAGTAACAGTGTCACATGGACCATATTCTCCCTCACATGGATTTAACAAAAAAAAACTCATTCTGTAGCCACTTTATTGATTTTACAAGAATTTGAAATCCCTATTTGCATGAGCTCCAACCATGTGAATAATTCAGTTGGGAAATTATAACTTCGAACTAGTGTTTAAGTCAAAATCTTGCCAAATATTAGCTTGAATATTCATCAAAGCACGAGCATATCTAACATATCAGGATACAAGCATAAGTTCTGTTATTAGGCTACCAACCATAATTCAGGATACAAGCATAAGAATGCTTACTTGTATACTTGCCACTCATAAGGTAGCCTCTTTATTGATTTTACAAGAATTTGAAACCCCTATTTGCATGAGCTCAAACCATGTGAATAATTCAGTTGGGAAATTATAACTTCGAACTAGTGTTTACTTCAAAATCTTGCCAAATATTAGCTTGAATATTCATCAAAGCACGAGCATATCCAACATATCATTGACTCATCATCAATCAAGGTACGACAAAATTGAGTCAAAAGAAAATAGTAGCTACCGTCTCAGGATCCTGCGACACTGTATGCCTTCCACTAAACATCGCCGCAAGCATCGATTCCGGCTCTCTTTGAGTGAGAGTATCGATCGTCGTCGAGTATTTCTTCCCTCCTATCGAATCAACCAGCAAAATTTTCAAGAACTTTCAGAACTACGCAAAATCAGCTCAAAACAGAGATTAGGGTTCTTGATTAAACTACAACCACAGCTCATCGACTCCTGATTAATTTGACCTCTGAAAATTCTCAAACAAGATCCCGGAGCTCACAGTGATCAATGAATCCAAACCAAAATTACGGAAACAATCAAATAAAATTTTTAGAAAAAAATGCTGACCGATGTCGAGCAGAACTCGGGAAGGGGACCACGGAGTACTGGAACCCATCGCCTCCTCAACTCCAGAAGGTCCTCGCTCGAATACTCGATTTCTTTCGCTCTCTCTCTCTCTCTCTCTGCTTTCTTTTCTTCCCATTTTGCCCTTGATACTTGCTTCATATACCCGTATTGCCCTTCGCGGTTCCAACTAGTTGTACCCGACCCGACCCGACCCGGTAGAGGATTCTGCTCGTGCGGACGTAATGACACGGGGGAAAGCTACAGGTGTATGCGCGCTGCATGCCGATGCCCACGTGGCGAAACGGGCAGCGCACACGTCATCGTGACCGGCCGTTTTAAAATGGAGACGAGCGAGCGAGCGATCAATTTGTGTTCATCCCAGAAACGAAGAACGAAATGGAGAGGACGAAGAAGCACCTCTCGGCCGTTGCCAATGATCTGCTCCGGAGATGCGCTCAGTATGTAACTGATTAATTTGATATTTAATTCGCATTTATTTTACAATTTCCCCCTTAATGTGTAACCGATTTGTTTGAGATTATTCATGGCTGTTCTGATTGCTTAAAAGTTGTAAATTTTATTTAGGTTATCAATTGAAAATCCAAGGTAAGAACTTTTATAAGTAGTATAAAAACAAAGGAAAATACTGTTTTTGCGTTCTTCATTTGGTTAATTTCCCAAAAATCCAAAAAAAAGAAAATGAAATCTTTCGTGGGGAAAGCTGATGTGACTTCACCTAGAATAATCGGTTTCTCGGGTTTGTTTATGTTTTCGTTTTTTTTTCCCCCAGAACCAACAGAAACTATTGTTAAACTTGGAAAATATTCTGAGCCGTGGATTTTATTTTATTTTTTATTATCTTTTCATTTTTTTTTATTTTTGAAATTGTAAGGTTGTTGGCAAATGATTAGGATTAAGTGACAACTGTGACATGACATCAATTTTGTGAAAGTAAGATAAGGAATTAAAGCTAATAGGTCGTTGCCTTTCTCCTTTCATTTTTTATTTCTGGGGGGTTCAATGAATAATTTCTTTCCATTAATGCAAGTGCGAATTACAGATCATAAGCTCAGCATACCTGAGCGCATAAATACATCTCTAAGTACTGTCTAACAATGACCGTAAACGGCAGCTATATAGCCATATGGTCGCTACAAAGATGCCGAGAAATTGACAAAGCTGCAGCACAGCACTAACACAAACAAGTAACTCCTACGAATTACAAAGAGTCCGCCCACATCTTTTAATCCATCGGCATCTTGCAGTCGTAAAGAGATACGGAGATAAACACCTTAGCCATCCCCACCACGTACGTGCTCATGAGTCTTTCTTCTAGAGCTATGAACTCCCGTTTCTTTCCATCCAAATGCCATGCGACAGCTGAAGCCGGTGCTAGCTATGAACTCTCTCATTTCTCCTTCTCACTGAAAGAAAGGATATTGCACCGCAGCATGAGAATTCTATTCTGAAAACTGTGATAAAATGACACTTAACTTAATTATACTGTGCGCGCACAAAGTCTTGCGTATATTTTAGAACATAAATACGGGACATAGGTTTTGAACATAATCTGCTCATTTTTTCGCTTGCAATTATAAAGAAGTACTTTCATGATAAGCATCAACTGCAGCTCTGTTTATAAGCATGCTAACTAAAAGATGAAGGTTTAATCAAAATATTAATGTTTTGAATAACTACATCAGGACTTTTGATCATGCAGGACATTGGACACGTCAGTGGATGCTCTTGTGCAGGATTTTGAACTGGGCTTGAAGCCTGAAGTGGATAATTACTCTAGAAAACTAGTAGAATTTTGCAGCTCAAAAGCACTCGAGGTTCTATGTTGTAACACTGGAGAGAGAATCGGTAATGGATCTCTTAGCCGTTTCACTTTCGATATGATGCTTTCATGGGAGACCCCGAGCTCTGCTGATGACGAGTCCTACTCGGTTTGTATTATGTCTTCCCTTAGAATTAATTTACCATGGTAGTATGGCATTATTACAATAAAAGACTTCACTTTGATTTACCAACGTGAAAAGGGAACATGCTTAAGGGGAAAAAATCCTACAGAGGGCCCCTATAGAAAACCATGGATGGTGGAAAAAAGATCGTGACACATGTCCTGCTGCTAATTATGAATCGGCGCAATTAGTATACAATATCAATGCAATCAATATCAGTGTTATTCTAGCAATCTTTCGATGTTTATAATAGCTTCTAATGCAAGAGCGATGTGTAATGTTAATTGTATCACTTTCTTCATTGGCATTATACAGGAAGCACTTGCAAAGGAAGCAGAAGATGAGAAGAAACCTCTAATAGGAAATGAAGGGCAGTTCAATGATGAGATTCCCCTTTTCTATTCAGACATCATGCCACTTCTAGTAAGTAGAATATTCGACATCATTAACATCAAAATTATATGAATAATTCCTCGTTTGTTCTTATTTCTGGCAGGTAAATGGAGAGCGGAGTGTTGGCGAGGAAGCATTTGTATGGTTTGGATCCTTGTTTCCTCTGGTCGCTGATGTCACTAATGCACGGTTTACCTTTGAAACTCTTACGGCACCAACTGCAAGCAAGCTGCACTATCCTGCTTATGATAGATTTCTAAGAGAAATTGACAAGTAAGTCATTTCAATGTATCTTTATAGTTTATTCTTACTTGTGTTATTGTCACATCACTTTTGCCTAACTGAAAACCTTTAATGCAGTTAGGGTAGAACTGAAAACTTGTACTAAAAAGAAAGCTACCATGTTTAGATGCATTCAGGGTGTGCAAAAATATTATGTTCTTGGTTTTTAAGATATTGGTCCCCCCCCCACCACCCCCTCGAAACCCCAACAAAAAAACATCTGTAGTCTGAAATTGGTCTCCCAAACACTGATATTTTGTAATAACCCCCAAAGCCTTTTGAGTTAAACCAACTAGGTCCAAGTAGTGTTTTTTTTTTGTTAAACTCTAATTCGGGTAGGGTCAAGTATCCACTAAAATTAACCCTGTCGATAGGTTTTACAGGTTAACATATTTTAACTAGAGAGAGCAATTTGGTGGAACTTAAAAGGATTTAGGGACTTATTTCAAAATATCCACATTTGGGGATATATTTCAAAATGCTCATGAGTTGGGGGGGCCACTATCTTAAAATCCCTACTATGTTTTTGCATGTCTGGCGTATTATATTGGATTTGGAGGCTGAGGCAGCTTTTTGAGTGTTAAGATTGTTAAATTTATAGGTGACAAATATGTTACCAGCGTACCTTGGAGCAATAACTACACTTAAACAGACTAAAACTGCTGAAAAACCTTATGCAGATCAACCATGTCAATTTATTTTGAATTATTATGTGCATTTCAGTTGTTGGCTAAGAAATCCATTTCTCTGTAATGCTTAGGTGTATAAAGTACCTGCTGAAGCAGTCAACACCAACAGGATTCAAATTAGCAGAAGACGAGTTCATACTACATGTGGATGGAACTGCTAGCACCCAGAGAGTGATCAATCATATTGGATCAACAAGTTGGCCAGGTTTGCTTTCATATTTCCACATCCCTTATTAACATATCTGAGCTAGTTACAAATATTCCCTAGTTGCTTTGATGTGATTGTGGTTTTCTCAGGTAGACTCACTTTGACAAATAAGGCACTCTATTTTGAAGCATCGAAAGCAATATCGTACGAAACTGCTTTAAGAATTGAAATTTGGAAACCTGATGTTGATCATCAAGTGAAGGCAGCTTCAACAGGTCCTTGGGGTGCCCCTTTGTTTGACAAAGCTATTGCATATGAGTCCTCTCAGTTGTAAGAGCTTGTCCGTCATTGCAGCATTTCTTTCCCCATCATAACTTATTGAGATCAAAGAATTTTAGAGTTCACGATAATTAGAAGGATGGAATTTATAACAAGATTATCTCTAAAATTGTCTAAGATGCTATATAATCAACTGTTGCTTGAATTAAACATTCCTTTGTTGATATCTAATGATGGGCTGTAGGAATCACTAATAATGCAAAAACCTTCTATATGATTCTCTTTGATTGAATTATTCATGTACTCATAGCTTCACTGAAGAAAATAGCATGATATTCAAATAATTTAGTCATTGCGCAGGCCAGAACCTGTAATCTTGGAGTTTCCAGAAGTGACTAGTTCCACGAGACGCGATCACTGGCTTACTCTAGTAAAGGAAATCATATTACTCCACCAATTCATATCTAAATTCGACATAGAATACCCTCTACAAGCATGGGAGATGCATTCAAGAACTATTTTAGGAATCATAAGACTTCATGCAGCAAGAGAGATGCTAAGAATAGCACCACCGGCACCAACAAATTTTCTAATCTTCTCCTTGTTTGATGACCTCCCAAAAGGGGATTATGTGCTTCAGGAACTATCGAGTAGCTTAAAGAAGACGAATAATATGCACCCTTGTAGTGCTACTTCCACATTAAAGAGCTTAGGGATGAAACATCCTACTATCGAAAGCATGGAGATGAAAGAAGGGATTGAAGAACCGTTGATAAAGGAAGAGGAGAGCTTAGCTTCTTTGGGAACGACCATTGATCAAGTAAGGGAGGAAGCGAAGGAAACTAATATTGCTAAAGCTACAGTTGAAGGGATGAAAGAGGAAGGGATTAGTGATAGTCTTCTTGTACTTGTGGTAAGGTCTCATTTCTTCTTAAATTATTTGGAAGTAACGACAAGAAAAGTAACAGTCATCCCAATATCTTGGGCTCGGTTATATGAATCTTATTTTTCTGTTCATTTTTTTAGTGTTAATCTCCGCTGTCAAATTTATCACGGCATTATTTTTCTAAACTACTCATAACCATTTTCTTGTAGCTTTACGCCTTTTCCTCCTTAAATTGTGATATTAATGACCTCCGCTCACATGCAAACATTTCAAATGGTTACTTTCATTTTATCTTCAAGAGCAACCTCTAACTTCCTATAGCTGAACTTATTACTTATCATATGTCTTAATGTATATCCACTTGTCCATCATAACTTATGATGTAGGTCCTGGATGTCCTCGAGGATTTGTTTTTTTTTTAATTATCTCGGGTTGTACATATCTTTTTGGTTATGCGATGGTTACTGAATGTGTAGGAGCTGTTGAGCCCCGTTCATAATGTTCAACCTTTACTTCAAAGTATCATTAGGTGGGAGAGACCTATGATATCTTTATGTGTACTTGTGATGGCCATGGTCATCACATACAAGTAAGTTATGTTCACAATATTAAAATTTTCTCGTATGCATTAAGTATGGAATTATCTTAATTAATTATTTTTTTGGTAATAATACAGAGAATGGGTTGGTTATGCCTCAGCTGCATCCCTTATGTGTGGCGTTGGAATGATGATGTGGGCGCGGCATCAGAAGGTTGGGAAATTACCTGCAGTGGTTTTGGTCTCGACTGCATCTGATAAGACGACCATGGAAAGCTTAGTTGCTGCTCAACACAGTTTGAAGAATTTACATGAAATGGTCAAGAAAACAAATATAGCGATACTGAAATGCCAATCGATTGTTGTATCCAGAGCTCCCAAGGTATTATGCTTGATTAACTCTTCCTTTCTGCATTTTGAACATTAATCGTTTATGTACTTTGATGTGTGTTATCCAGAAAATACTAAGTTACTAACACATAGATTAGAAGATCAAAGTTAGAGAACAATGTTACAGTAAAGAGACAATCATATGAAGTCATGTTTCAAAAGAACTGCTTTAAAGTTTTGGTGTTTTGGTATAATGTAAGGGATGTAAGTATGATGTCAGAATGATCCATGTTCAAACCCCACCAATACATGTTTAAAACATACTAGTATAGTGCACGTGCTTTGCATGAGAGCATACTTGTTTTGTTTTATGTTTTTAAAATCGTTGCCTACAAAATACTGAAGTGACTTATATTAGCAATATATATATTACAAAATAATTATAATATATATATTAAATAATTTTTTCTCTTTTAAATATAATTATACATAGCATAATTATAATACTATTACTAACTACATTTTAATTTCATAATTAGTTTATTACACTATTAATAAATAATTTACTAAATTGTATAGTTACTAAATTATAGTGTAATTTATTAATTAAAAAAATACTATTAAAATCATTATACTATTACTACTATTACAATTACTATAAGTACAAATTATTTTTCATACTATTATCATACTTTTAAATGGCTAATGAGATGAAAGGTAGCATGTAGTGCCCCATAATAGATGAAACCCAAAGGCATGAGGCATAAGCCTGACGAATTTTTATTATTTTAAAATTTTCTAGAAAATTTAAATATTATGTGAAGATAAATTAGGGAGAAATTTCAGAGTTCTATTAAATAACATAATTAAATAATAAAATAATAGTGTGACCAAATGCTTTGAATAAGTGACGAAATGCATAACTAATAAGAGGTTATATATAATTGGTGAATGATTAATTACAACTAACGACATATTTGAGAATTATCAAAATTTAAAAGGGCAAAAATAGAAATCAAAAGTTTTAACAAGGCAATTCTCTTTTATATGTAGTATAGATTCAAAAAATGCATGCATGTAAATAGTTCATGTTTTACGCCCATGAAGAGGATGCTAACTAAGCAGAGACAGAGACATATTAGAATATGTAACTCTCAGACCTCATCACAACTTTGAAGTCATAGTTGAAGTCATTGTCAACTAGCTAGCTAGTTTTTCCTCCTCCTTTTTTTTTCCTTTTCATTTTCTTTCTTTTTTTTAAATAACGTCAAGCTAGTTATGTATAGCTAGATACAAGCAAATTATGCATAACCAGCTAAAATAAAGGCTGTGTGGGTCAAAATGACTAAAGGCTAGGACGGCATGTGAAATTTACGCTAATAACCAGCTAAAATCGAACAAGATCCCTGCAACTTAAAGAATTAAACATATTAATATATTAGAAAATCACGTAATGTAAGAAAATGCTCATTTATCAACTTCATATGTAAGGGTTCCACCTGCAATGTGGCAGTTGTACTTGCAGACGAACTTCATTAAACCTCCTCGATCGTGTTAGGTTTTATAATGCCTCCCAGTGCATTTCTATTAGGCCCCTTTACTTTCGGTTAGGCTATTACCCCGGGCACAATTAATTGTTGACCAAACAGATACTTGGTGTTCCCATATATTGTAAAGATTTCACACGGTTAGGTTCATGAAAGATCCAGTTTAGTTTGATTTGGGAAAAAGAGGTTAACATTAACGGTTGATTTCACAAAGCTACCGTCAACTTTGAAGGTTTTTCCACAAAATTATCAATATACTTCTAGTAGAGAAACTACAGTGATCCTTTTTCAATCAACTACGTCATTTAGGATAAAATTGTCACGTGTCATGCTCATGTCGGTTCTCTTCTTATGTCCTATATTGCCCTCTCCTCTCACTGGTAGTTTGTTCTCTCTCTTTTTTTAATTAAAAATGTTAATGCCGTTTTTTCAACAATTTTCAACAATTCATGGTATTTATATCCAATTTCAAAATTTTTGGTAGTTTTATCTAGCTAAAAAGTTCATGGCAGTTTTCTGAAGGAAAAATTTTAGAAATCCCCTTATATGCTTGGCCGTTATTTAATCCACAATAGTTTTTGTCAGAGAACCCCTAAATTAGAGAATGTGATATCTCATTTCCCCTCTAGCGATACATGCCTCCCTCCTATTGGGGGGTGTAGGTACTTAGGTGCTCCATGAGCACCTAAGAATTTTTTCCTAAATTAACACCATCCCCTAAAAATTAACACAGTAATAAGATTTGACGTGCAAAGCATCTGAGGTCAAATGACTAAATTGCCCCCAATAAATTTTATCAAAAAAAATTCCATATAAGTTTGGTCACTTGCCGATTTTGAAAAGAACCCCGCTATTTGGCTCGCGGTCCAACCGCGAGCCAAAAAGTTTTTTTGTTTTGAAAACTAGGGTTTTTGAGAGCGCACCTCTGTTCTTTCACTAAAGTACAGTGTGTCCTGACTTCAAAACGGCTTCGACGAGCCACCAGAGTCAGTCGCACGCCTCAAATAAATCTGATTAGGATTAAATTAAAAACATCCGAACTCATTAGTTTTTTTTTTAATTTTTAATTTAGCCTTTTCTTGGAATGTATACCACATAAAACCTCTGCAGTAATTTCTCTCCGTCTTCTATTCATTTGCAGCACACAGCTCAAGTGATGCTGGCGATGACCGGAGCCGCGGCACTGCTCGCTGCAATTCCTTTCAAGTTCGCAGTAATGAGCTTGATTGCATACTTGTTCACGTTAAATCTAAAGCTTGGGCAGTCATCTGTGTCAAATGGGCAGGCAGACAGAAGGCTGAGGGAGTGGTGGGACGCAATTCCTGTCGTTCCTGTCCGCACCGGGTGAGTGAGTTGAAGGTCTGTATCTGGGGGACAAAAACTCTATGTAATTTTCTTCTTCTTTGTATTGTACGTCAAGATTGCGGATGTGTGTAAAATTAATGAAACAATGTGTTCTTTATGTGCAACTAAGTTAATTAGGCCATAGTCAGGCATAAAGGATAGTGAAGCATATGCTCGGGTACTTCGTTTGGATTCTCGGTCGTCTTGCGTTTTGTATTTACAATTTTTTTAAAGCTTGATTTTTAAGGGAATCCTTTTTCTTTTTTCTTTTTTTCTAGGTTGTTTGGTGTGTGGTTGTTTCAACTTTTTTTTTTTTTGTTATATGTTTTAGCGTAAACAACGGTTATAGATACCGATTGGTTTACCCAATGCTACGTACGTATAAATAGCTTCACTTGTAAAAGCATACGGTTAATACCTAGCTGTACTTTCCAAATGTCTCATGTTGATTGATACCTTCGGTTATGCGAATGTGGGAACTTCTCTGGGAAAATTATTACATGATTCTAGGATACTTTTTTTATCTAGAATATTTTAACCCCTATTTTTTGTTAAACCTATTGTTAAACATATCAGAATTCTTTTTAAGATAGAAATTAGAATATATTTCAAATGAGATCTTGATATGTTTAATAACAGATTTTAAAAATGTTATAATTTTTTTTTTCTCTTTCCAATTCAAATGTTGCGAATTAAACAATTGAAATATATGTTTGATTGTATCATTTACACATTTCGCTCCTCTATATGACCATACAATAAAAAAGTGTGGGATTTTTTTTTTTTGAAAAGGCAGGTAGGACATCCTAACCAGCCAAGTTCTCAACAACACTCTATCTCAAAAACAGATGGATAGAAACAGATCAAAAACAAGAGGACAAACAGTCAACCAACTTAGCTAGGGCATGAGCAAAACCATTATCAGTGCGCCTTACATAAGAAACTTTAGAGCAGCCAATAGTAAACAAACCAGCGTGAACTTCATCTGCAATAGGAGTCATGGTAGCAAAAGGAGAATGAGAGTCCACCAAGGAGACAACCCTTAGGGAGTCAATCTCCACCACCGAAATCCTCCATACGCCGAACAAAGCGAATGCCTTCCAAGACAGCCAACAGCTCCGCATGATCCACAGTTAGGGGTGCATTCGGTCCGGATACGGTTCGGATATGATGTCTACCATATCCATATCCGCTTACTCATCTCGGATACGGTTACGGATACGGATATACATCGGTAAGGAAAATTTATATCCATATCCGCTAAAATCGGATACGGTTACGGATATACATGCGGATATATAAGCAGATATGTATGCAGATACAAAACAGACATGAGAAAGCTAGATAGTATTGAGAAAAACATAGTTCATGTGATACAAAAGAGTTTGTTTATATGTTCATTATATCTGAAAAGTTAAGATTAGACATATTGATTATCAAAATTAACCACAAATCCATAATCTAAGAATCGAAACTATCGTAAGAGTATGACTAATATGTATTCGGATATTTCGGATACAGATATTTCACTATAAAACCATATCTGTAACCATATCCTATCGGTTATAGATTTGAGTAACCATATCCGTATCCTAACGGATATGGTTACGGATATTTCCTCGGATATGGATACAGTTTAGCACCCCTATCCACAGTCATAGGACCCCTGAGCCCCATAGAGTAGCAACCAATCATATGCCCATGGTGGTCCCGAATAACACCTCCCAACCCAACAATATATTCTTCCATAGGAACAGCAGCATCTGTGTTGAGCTTTAGCAAACCAAGAGCAGGGGGATACCAAGTAGAAGGCCATTTGGAAGTGGTAGCGATGTCACAAGAGAGGCCTCGAACCCTATCCCCTTCCTCCACAAAACAGAAGATTTGAGTCACCAAGACCGAAGCCTCCCTAACATCACCACCATGAGAGCGCATATTCCTTCCCCCCATATAAACCACAGGGTCGTGAAAGCTAAATCCAGAGAGTTCCCAGGGTAAACCAAGGTGAGATGGAAAAGAAAATTATCACAAGACGTACCTCGAAAGCCTTCAATCACATCCCAAAGATCTAAGGACTCCCACACTAAACAAGCAAAGGAGCAGACGGCAAAGATATGAAGTACAGTCTCAAAGGCAGCAGAGCAAATGCAGCAACTAGGGAACACAGAGGTCCCCCTACGAGATAAACCAGCTGAGGTGGGGAGAGCATCATAGAATAGGCGCCAAAGGAACACTCTCATCTTCGTTGGGATCTCCGCCTGTCAGATCAAGGACCACCACTTCACCACCCTAGAATCCGAGGTGGAAGCAGCATCAGACATAGTGTGGCGAAGAAGTTGGTATCCACTATTGACTGTGTAGCACCCCTTCTCCTCATAATGCCAAATGAGTCTGTCAGGGACATGAGAAGGGGGCAGTGGAATAAGTGAAATGTCCTCCCGATCCACCTGCTAAAAGGAGTTAGCAATCAAATCATGATTCCAAGTATCCGAAGCAGAGATCAGCTCACCCACCCTTCTGGAAGGGTCGATTGAAAAAGTGATTGGCCTAAAAGAAAAGGGCATTGGGATCCATGGATCAGCACTGATAGAGACACTCTGGCCATCATCTATCCTCCATCTTAGACCTCGAGTCAGGAGCTCTCACCCTTAGATAATGCTCCACCATAAATAAGAACAGCCAGGACCGGCACCGGATGAAAGGAAGTCTGAGTCCCTGAAATACTTTCCTTTCAAAACCCTACTAGCCAGGGAAGAAGGGTCCTGAAAGATCCTCCATGTCTGCTTAGCCACCAGTGTCTGATTAAACATTTGCGGATCTCTAAAGCCCAGACCATCCTTTGACTTTGCTCGACACACCTTCTGCCACCTAACCCAGTGAATCTTCCTCTCACCGAAAGTCGATCCCCACCATAATATCATAATGATAGACTCAATTTCCCTGCACAAAGAAAGGAGAATGCGCAAAATACTCATCACATAGCATGGAATCGCCTGCAAAACAGCTTTCATCATAATCTCCCCCCCCCCAGTTGAGAAAAGAGCCCTCCTCCAAGCTTAGACTCTTTTCCAAACCGAGTCTCTGATTGAAGCAAAAGTCTGACAACAGCTTCTTCCAACCACCGAAAGGAAGGACTAAGTATCGATCATGTGACTGGACCCTATCAAGCCCCAAGATAGAGAAAATAGAGGCCCTTGTATCCTCATCTACACATGTGCTAAAGGTGATGACAGACTTCTGAAAGTTAACTTTTTGACCGGTTGCAACCTCATATACTAGCAGAGTACTCTGGACAGCCTGTGTAGTGGTCTGGGAAGCCTGAATAAAAACCAATGAGTCACCTGCAAAGAACAAGTGAGAAATCTTTGGCCCCAATCGAAAACAAGATAACCCTCTAATGCACCTATTCTCCTCCAGTCTGATGATCAGTGCCGAGAGAGCTTCCATACAGAGAAGAAACAAATATGGAGATAGTGGGCATCCCTGCCGCAGACCACGAGTATGAGTGACCTGACCCACAATCTGCTCATTGAGGCAGAAAGAGAGTGAGGAAGTGGAGATACGGTCTAAAATGAGAAGCCTCCAATGATTTGAAAAACCCATGACCTGAAGGGCCCTATCAATAAACTCCATTCCACTCTATCATATGCCTTACTCATATCTAACTTTAGTGCCATATGGCTAAACTGACCCCGTCTCCTCTTCTGCAATGTGTGGAGAAGTTCAAAAGCAACACTGGCATTATCCTAAATAGATCTCCCTGGGACAAAAGCACTTTAAAGGCATCTGACAATCCGCCAAGAACCCGCTTCAGCCTATTAGCAATGGTTTTCGTGATAATGTTGTAGACCACATTATATAGGTCGATGGGTCTAAAGTCTGTCATAGTCTCAGGTGAATCTTTTTTGGGGATAAGAACCACATTGGTCTTATTCCAAGACTTTATGGATGAGCCCCCATTTAGAATCTCCAAACATACAGTCGAAATATCTGGGCTAATAACAGACCACTGGGACTAAAAAAAGAATGCATGGAAGCCATCTGGGCTGGGTGCCTTTGAAGGGCCCATAGGTTGAAGAGCACCACACACCTCATCACATGTAAAATGCTCAAAAATTGTTCAAAGGTCATCCACTGAAAGCTATGAAGAGATAGCACCACCCACCTCAGCCAAAACCTCCTCTGAAGGAGTGGAAGAAGAAAACAGTTTCGAGAAATAATACTCAATAAGCGTTGCATTTCCCAACTGATCCTCCACCCAAGTGCCATTCGGATGACGTAGGCAGCTAATGAAGCTCTTCCTCCTCCTAGTGGAATCTCTCATATGAAAGAATTTGGTGTTATGATCCCCGTCTCGGAGCTAATCAACCCTAACTCGTTGTCGCCAGAAGCTTTCTTCCTTATACTCAATTACGGTCCCCGTCTCGGAGCCAATCAACCCTAGCTCGCTGTCACCAGAAGCTTTCTTCCCTATACCCCCCCCCCCCCCTCTCCTTCTCTAGCCTTCAAATCTTAGCCATAAAATCCCCCACATTAGGAGAAGAGTAGAGAGACTAGAGCTTTCGCTGAATAACTGACAATCTGTGCCTCCATCTAACAAAATACTCTTGGCTCCAACTACTGAGTTTTGTAGCACAAGACCCTAGCTTCTGACAAACTAACTCACATAGATCCTATTGTGTGGAAATCCCAGGCCAGGCCCTACTAATAACATCATTCAAATCATCCTCTTTGAGCCAAAAGGACTCAAAGCAGAAGGGACGACCATGCCTAACAGGAGGGAGGCAAGAAGCAATAAAATATAACATAATAGGATGATGATCAGAAACAGAAAAATCTAAGTGGTGTACCTCAGTAGTGGGAAATATGTCTCACCAGCTAGAGTCAGCTACCATCCTGTCCAAGCACTCCTGGATATGAGATGTACCAGACTAACGATTAATACAAGTGAAGGTGTGCCTGCGATACCACAAATCTAGTAGCTCACAATGCAACAGAACACTCTGGAAATCTAGCATACTCGGAACATGCA